GTGGCACTGAGTTTGGTTTTGAATTTTTGTCATCAGGTTTAGGAAGTTTCCTTTTATTACTAGTTTGTAGAGTGTTTTTATTATGAAGAGTGTTGGAGTTTGTCAAATGCTTTTTCTGCAGCTATTGGGATGAGCATGTGATTTCAATGTTTATTCCATCTATATAATATAATATACTAGGAGCTCTGGTAGCATAGTGGCTAAAGCACTTGACTGCTAACCAGAAGGCTGGCGGTTCAAACCCACCAGCCACTCCTCGGAAGGAAGGTTGGGCAATCCTACTTCCGTAGTGATACTGCCTCGGAAACCCAAGGAGGGGTCGCTATGAGTCGGGGCCGACTCGACGGCACATAACAACAACAACAAATATAATATACTAGATGAATTGATTTTCAGATGTTACACCAATCTTGCATTCCTGGGATAAATCCCACTTGATCATGTTATATAATTCTTTATATATTCTGGATTTGTTTTACAAGCACTTTGTTGAGGATTTTTGCAACCATACTCATAATACATACTGGTCTATAGCTTTCTTATGATATCTTTGTTTTTTGGTATCAAGATAATACTGGACTCACAAATAGAGTTGAGAAGTGTTTTTCTCATTTCTATCTTGTTGAAATAGCTTTTAAAGAATTGGTATTAAGAATTTTTTAAACGTTTGGTAGAATTCAGTGAAGCCTTCTGGGCCTGAGTTTTCCTTTGTGGATAGTTTTTTGATGATGAATTTAATCTCTTTACTTGTAATAGGCCTATTCAGATTGTCTATTTCTTCTTGAGTTAGTTTTAGTAGTTTGAGTCTTTCTAGGAATTTATCCATTTCACTTAATTATCTAGTTTGTTGGTATACAATCACTCACAGCATTCCTTTATAATATTTTTTACTTCTGTAACGTTGGTGATAATATCCTCTTTCATTTCCGATTCTACAAATTTGAGTTTTCTTTTTTTTTCTTGATCAATGTAGCTAAAGATCTGTGCATTTTGTTGATCTTTCAAAGAATAAACTTTATCAGTTTTTGTCTTCTTTATCTCATTATCCTGCTCTAATCTTTATTATTTATTAACCTTCATTCTACTTGTTTTATGTTAGTTTGCTCTTCTTTTTACGGTATGTTAAGGTGTAAGATTAGGCTATTGATTTGAGATCTTTTTCTTTCCCAATTTAGACATTAATAGCTGTAAATTTCCTTCTCACTGCTTTAGTTGCATCCCATGGTATGTTGTGTCTTCATTTTCATTCATGTCAAAGTATTTTATGATTTCTCTATTGATTTCTTATTGATCCCATTGGTTACGCAGGAGTGTCTTGTTTAATTTCCACATATTTGTGAGTTTCCCAATTTTTGTCACCACTTTCACTGGGGAGTGGGTCAGTGGAGCTCTTCATGCTCTCGTGCCAGAAGCTGATGTCTGCCTTCATTATTATAGTTCTAAAATAACACCTCGGTATTTGGAAGAGTGAGTTCCTCTTTTTATTCCTCTTCAAATTGCCTTAGAAAGTTTTGGCTCTTTGTTCTTCCACATGAATTGTAGAATAAGCTTGTAGAATTAAAAAAAAACCAAAAAAACAACCCTGCTGGGATTCTTATAAAAATTCCCTGAATTAATTTTTATGATATTAAGCCTTCTCATTATTTCCTTCTACTATTTAGGACTTAAAAAATATCTTTTGAAGAAAGTATTGTACTGTTTTTCTATAAAACAGATTAGCTCCTAGGATTTTGTTGCTCATGTAAATAACATCTTTAATTTTTTTTAAATTTTCTTTTTAAAATTGGTGTTTAAAAGTAATTGAATTTTTAGATTGATCTTATATTCAGCAACCTTGGTATTTGAGAGGTGCTCTGGTTACCTAGTGCTGCTCTGACAAGAAATATACCACAAATGGGATGGCCTTAACAAACAGGAGATTATTCTTTCACAATTTGGAGGCTTTAAGTCCAAGTTCAAAGTGCCAGGCTCTAGGGGCTGGGTGAAAGCCTCTCAACCTTGGGGTCCAGCTCTACCTCCTGCTCCCGGGCTACTGGAGCTAGAGGCATTTCTTCACTCAGGCAGCTGCTGGCTGCTGAGGCTGAGAAGCCCCAAGGTTGACAAGTAAAAAGGCACAGTCTCGATGTTACCAAATCACACGGCAGGTCATTAACTTAAGTCCACTGTAAGGCCCAAGGTCAGCGGAGCATAGCAGGCTACTGAGCAATGACATGGCTATATGCAGGGTCCAAGCACGCCATAGGCTAGAGACCATTCCAAAGCTTCTCCTTATATACAGGAAGCTGACCACATACCCAAAGGCAGCTACTCAGCTACTCACAGTAGATTCCACCATGGAGTTGATTACCAGTCTCATCTTGGGGAATACTACATCCAGCTGCCCAGCTACTCAACCAGGCCCAGCCAAGTTGACACACAAACATAACCACCACACCATACTATTAGTTTTAATTATTTGACTGTTGATTCTTTTCTGTGTAGCTAATTATGTTGTTTAAAAATAATGATAATTTCATTTTTTTATCCATTCCATGCACCTTTTATTTCTTTTGCTTTTCTTTCTGTGTATTTTAGAATTCTAACGTAATACTAAATAGAAGCAGTATTGAGAGGCATTCTTTCCTTGCTCCTAATTTTAATGAGATTGTTTCAAATAGTCTATGTTTAATAATAATGTTTGCTCTAGGTTTTTGCTACATAACTTCATTAAGTTATGGAAATTTCCTTCCATTCCTGGTTTATTAAGGGTTTCAACCATGAATAAGAATACTAGTAAACATTTACAGAGTATGTACCAGGCATGAGACACTGTTCTAAGTACTTTACATAGATTAACTCATTATATGCTCATAACAAACCTCAGATTATCATCTTTATCTCACCATGAGTAAACTGAAAAAACCAAAACACAAACCCATTGCCATTGAGTCTTACTCCAACTCATGTTGTTGTTGTTATTTGCCATCGAGTCGGCCCCGACTCCTAGTGACCCCTCCTTGGGTTTCCGAGGCAGTTATCACTACGGAAGTAGGAATGCCCAACCTTCCTTCCGAGGAGTGGCTGGTGGGTTTGAACCG